CTTATAGGTCTCTATAATATGGTTGATCACCTGTTGAGAGTCACCAAAGATCTTAATTTCTTTAATCTCCATCAGGATTACAAATTATAGGCTAGTTATCTAAGTTTCATACTCAACCTCATTGTTTGTGCAAGACTCTGATAAATGATATGAAAAGTGCATCATTCCATTATTTGGTGTTATGAATATCAAGTCAACTCTAGCTTTTCCTGGAATAATAAATTGATGTGCATTGCCTCTCTAGGAGGATGCAACACCATCAAAATACATTTCCCAGACTCGATTACTAGATTCCTCAAAAATCATGATTTGTTCGTCATGTAAATCATCATTTAGAGGATATTATGCACGCAGTGTGTGTGTGCTGCAAGAAAGTCAAGAATGACTTGCCCTTTCATAAAAGTGACTTCAAGTTGAAGCAATATCATAGACCACCAAGCCAGATGCCCTGACAATGTAGGTCAGGTCATAAGATATTGCAAGGGATTGATACAGGGAATCAAGTTTACCTAGTGAGAAAGCATACAATTCCTTAATTTTTTGGCTGCAAAAACTAAAGTAAGACAATGTTTCTTGATTGAAGGGTACCATATTTCTATAGAGAGAAGTCTTTGACTCAGATAGTAGAGAGTGTTGCGACTCGGGCTTCCGAGTGTATGATTTAGATGATAATAAATAATATTGATTAATCTTTTATGTCTTCCATTATTTGTAGTGCATATTTGTTTGTGTGTTTACTAATAATTCAGGTACATCATGCACCGTTCTTTGAAGTTTCAAGGCTCAAGATCGTCTAGAATTGGTTGTATTAAATGAGTCTATAATTTTCATTTCTTGAGTTAAGTCTTGTAATGATGCATGTTAGCTTGTTGACCATGCACACACACAGAGGGAGCAAAAAATGATTCTAAATATTTAATTTTTCTATATGTCGTACGGTACGATCTGGATCGTACTGTACGATCTGATGTAGCAGAAATTAATTAAAATATTTAATTTTCCTAAAAAAATATTCTTAAAATATAATAAATTGTACTGTACGAACATTACATCGGACTGTATGATCTGTTACAATTAGAAAACCTACCGTGCATTAAAATAGGCAAAAATTTGAATTTGAAAAGTTATTCTAATCGTACTATACGAACATGGTCGTACTGTACGATGTTTAAAATATTACATAATTTAATCCTGTGATTATTCAATCAAAACAGCTTAATTTTGATATTTTGATCGTACTGTATGAACTGGATCGTACTGTTCGATCAATAGAGACAATTCTGGCCGTCCTATGCTTCATCCTGGACGAACTGCACTTTTATTGAACTGTTCATACAGCACATCGTACAGTACAAACGTCAACTGAACTGTTCGTACAGTACTAACAGTTCAATTTCTGCACATAGTACTAGACGATCTTACGATCGTACAGTACGATCTTTGGCAGCTGAATTGAGTTTTTTAGGGTTTTCTTAGCCCTCTATTTAAGCACTCTCATAAGACTTTGTAAGAGTCTTTTGGCAGCCATTGTAGCTTCATTTTTCTAGAGAACACTTGAAGAGATGACTTTAAAGGGAGAGAGGAAAGGGTGGAGTTTGAGAGAGGGAGAAGAACCTTAGAGGGGGTTTCAAGGGAGTGTGAAGGAGATTTCACACGGTTGCTCCGGTGAGCTTGCACCTCAATACCATCAAATTCAAGGTTCGTCTTGAAGGAAATTTTGGGAAGAAGAAGATCTCGTTGGTGTCAAAGGACCTGGCTCCTCCGCCGCACCGGGGAAGGTGGAAGTGATTATATAAGGGCTTCTCCGCCTAGCTGTGGGGGCTGAAGGAGAATCACTAAAGGTTTAGTGTAATACTCGGAGGGTGCCTTCGAGGAGTGGACGTAGGTCATGGTTTTACTGAACCATTATAAATGATGTGTTCTTTCCTTATTATTTCCGCACTTTATTTTCGCATTCATTTTTATTGTGATTAATTGCGTTGGTGAAATTGATTATCTATCTTTTTATTGTGAATGAAATTCGTTTCCGCTTAAAGTATTAAAAATATATTTCTTTTCATTAAATAAGTTTTTAATCATCCAATTCACGCCCTCTTAGCGTATCTAGCAATTTCAGAGAGCATTCTCTTTCCCTTTGTTGTTAACTTTAGCTAGTAGGGCACCAAAAGACTCTTCGAGGGCCACAATGTAAAGGATAATAGGTTTTCCCAGAACTGAGGCTGCCAAAACTAGCAGATTTGAGAAGTATTGCTTGAAATTTTCAAAAGCATATTAGCATTTCTCACCCTATATGAATTTGACATCCATTTTAGCCAAGACGGAGAATGGCTGAGATCTTACAAAGAGGTTAGAAATAAATCTTATTATATACTCTAGTCTACCTTAAAGAGACCTTTATTGAGTAAAGCTCTTAGGAGGCAACATATTTAATATAGCTTTGATTTTGGCAGGATCAATTTTGATTCCATAGTGCCTCACTAGAAAACATAGAAATTTTCCTAGTGTGGCACTGAAAGCGCACTTTAAGGGATTAATCTTAAGGTCGTAGCGGCGCAACCACTCGAAGACAATTCTTAAGTCATAAAGATGAACCTCTTTGACTTTGCTCTTGATAGGATTATGGATTAAGTCATCAAAGATTCAAGTCATGGCCTGCTAGTAGGTTGCACCAGCATTTTTAAGGCCAAATGACATCACTTTATAATAAAAGATCCTTATAGAACTTCTGAATGTAGTATTTCTCTCACCTTCTAGGGCCATCTTGAACTGATTATAACCAGATGAGCCATCCATGAAGGAGAAAGTGACATGTGAAGAGGCAATATCCACCATAACTTCAGATATGGGTAAATAAAATTCATCCCTTTGACACATCTTATTTAGATCCCTATAGTCAACACAGACATGGATTTGATCATTCTTCTTTCAAACTAGCACAACGCTAGCTACCAAAGAGGGATATTATTCCTCTTGAATAATCTGACCCAACCAATTTCTTGACTTCAGAAAAGACTTATTGTTTGATCTCCAAATGCATGCTTCTAGGAATGTGCTTAAAAGGAATGACATTGTGTTGAATACCGAGTTTATGAATTGCTACATCAGCGAAGAAACCAGGCATTTCTTCATATGTCAAGATGAAGTAATCCTTAAACTTAATAAGAAGTTAAATATATTCTCAGACTCATCCTCACTCAATAATGAACTTATGAAAGTGGGGCTAAGTTTATCCTCTGTTCCAAGGTTAATTTTTTTGAGTTCGTCGACTGCCAATTTTATCCCCTCTTCAAATTTAGGGGGTACATCTCGTATATGGAGTTCATCAGAGTCATCTAAAGTCTCCAAACAAAGTTTGTTGAGAGGATCGATGACTTCAATAGGGATATTATCAGATTCATGATGATTAGTTATCATTAAGTAATATTTATCATCGTCAAATGAACTAACGGCACCAAAGTCGATACCACTAGTCTAATTCTTCTAGGTTTTCGAAAGCCATATGCTTTTGTGGTATTAAACTTGACCATTAGTTCATCGACTCAGTGAGAGACCTTTCGAGATAAGAGTTTTAACACCAACATGAAAGTAGCCAAAAGGTAAATCTATTATTTTATTAAAATCTGCCTCATCAAGGATTATAACATTTTCATTCCTCAAGGAGGAGCCAGGGAAAAACTTCATGACTTTCTTTACTTCACTATATAAATTAAGGACATCCTTAGTCAATAACCCTGAGACAATGTTAGTAGATAGTGGGGTTTAGGTTAAGACTTCATCTGCTATATTTTGCATTTCATAAAGAGTTAATTCAGGCTTGTCACTTTGAATTTTCGAATCGTCACCCTCTAGGTCACTCTCTTGTTCCAAAGTGAGATCAAATTTCAAAGGATGATTTATTTTTTTATAGTCAAAAGAAATTGTAACACCATGTACATTTGATTCTTCATCAGAACTTGATTCTAGTTCGATATATATTTAGGTTATTCTTTTTCAACTGAAGTACGGCCTTGACCACATGCTCTTTGGGCCATCCTCACACCTTTTTGAGGTAAATTGTTTGGAGGTCTAAAGATCATGCCCTCGACATCATCTTTGCTACATGATTTATGTCTTTCTTTACTTCACCATATAAATTAAGGGCATCCTTAGTCAATAACCTTGAGACAGTGTTAGTAGATAGTGGGGTTTAGGTTAAGACTTCAACTTCCATATTTTGCATTTCATAAAGAGTTAATTCAGGCTTGTCACTTTGAATTTTTGAATCATCACCCTCTAGGTCACTCTCTTGTTCCAAAGTGAGATCAAATTTCAAAGGATGATTTATTTTTTTATAGTCAAAAGAATTGTAACACCATGTACATTTGATTTTTCATCAGAACTTGATTCTAGTTCGATATATATTTAGGTTATTCTTTTTTCAACTGAAGTACGGCCTTGACCACATGCTCTTTGGCCCATCCTCACACCTTTTTGAGGTAAACTGTTTGGAGGTCTAAAGATCATGCCCTCGACATCATCTTTGCTACATGATTTATGTCTTTTTTGATTCTTTATTTTTTCTGCTTTTGACATTTGCATTTTTTTTTAACTTCATTAGTCTTCATTCTCCTCTTTGAAATTGGTCTCTCCCTTAGATGAGATGGTGTACCCTTTAAATGCGTAGTACGAAGCATCCTCGTAGATCCTGATTAGATATGATAAACTATTTAAAAGTTGGCCTTGGTTGTTCTAGACGCACCCTACCCCGGGGGAAATTATTCTGTGCGTAGTCTGAACATAGAGGATCGTTCGGATGCTGCGTATGGATTGTATATGGACTGCATATGAACTGAGTATGGAATGTATATGGACCATATATTTACTACGTTCTTGCAGATATGTAGCAAATACTAAGCCAATTATTAGTTGTGAGTATTTAATGAATATTTTATGCATATCTATAAAGTTCATATACAATTCACACTCAATTTATATGGAGTCCATATACAGCATTATGTGGATCTGTACGTTTGGAGTCCCCACTGAATAATTTCTCCTAGTCGGTGTGAAGAATAGTTTCCCGCCAAATCTGGGCTAACGGGGAATAATAAGACAGGTCGCCAAATTATTAATTGCATTTGCTTCCCCGTTCTTTGCCATTGTAAAGGATTTCGAAAGAAATGGAGATTTTACGATCTCAAAAGAAGCCCACTGCGGAAGCCGCCTCGAATCTCTCCCTTTACCGCTGCGCTCCTAGTCTGGAGGTCAGGCTTGACGATTTCGAGCTATATGCCATCGATCGTCTTCGCGGTATCAAACTTCTCTCTCTGTTTTCCCTGTTCATTTTGGTTCCCTTGTTTGCTTCTTGAGTTTTAACCGGAAATATTAGGTTGAAGGCATGCTTCTAGCTTTTTAAAAGGGTTTGATACTGACCTAATAATGAGGGTTTGAGTGGATCCTATGCAGTCCTTAAAGGAATTTCGAATGGCTTATCCCGCGGTAAGAGGCCGGATGAGATGGAAACACTGGTAATTGAGATGCTGTTGATTTTTGATGTGCCAATCAATTGTATTGATGTCTTATTCTAGTATTCTCGATGAACTTTAGGTGAATGAACTGTGGAGAACAAATATGAGGCATCCGGATGTTACTCAGCTCATAAACAAGGATTTAATCTCACATTTTGTGCTTCGTCTTGTGTATTGTAGAACGTGAGTGTGCGGCTACCAAATAAGCTCCCTGAGGATTTTTGTCCTTACTTTTATATTGGCTTATTTGCAAATTTTTTTAGGGATGAACTGAGGAAATGGTTTCTTTCTATGGAGACAGCCCTTTTCCGTTACCGCTTTCGTCTAGAAAGTCTTGAATCCCAGGTTGGTCTTAGTTATTAATGGAGAGGTTTTAGTGGGGTTTCGTTTTTTTTTTTTCACATTTATACTTTAATTTTGTAGAGAATGCTTATGGCTGAGTTTCAGCTTCCTTATAAAGCGTTGAATTATGTGGAATACGAGGTATGCTTTCTGATGTCCATCATTCTGGTTAAATATAAACAATGAAAATTATTATGGTCGTAGTTTGTTACACTGATTCATTTCTTTTTTATCTAGCGTGTGAAAGATAAGTTGACTCAGGTCTCTCGTTCTATCGGCCAGTCTTCTAATGGTAGGTGTTTACTAGCGCTTAGGACTCTTATTGAGCATGTATTTTTTAGAGTTTTTATGTGGGCAAAGTTTTTATTGGATGTTTAATATCATTTAGAGAAATCACACTAGTTGGGATTGTTCTATTATGTAGATTTCTTATGCAGAATACTACATTACTTGGTTGTAGTATTGCCATGTATAGCTTTTTTTTGCGGCATCACATCATCACTACCAATGTGATTTGCCATAAGTTGGTCAAAATCAAAATCTTATATTGATTGTTCTAAACTTTTTGTTCAAATGAATCGAAATAATCATATTCAGTGCATTATTGGATTCATTTTCTAAAATTTTGTTAGGTTTTTGTTATTGGTTGTTAATGTAATGTCATCCCTCGACTCTTTTCATCTTGCTTTGGAATTAGCAGTATTGGTTTACTTCTATCAAAAATCAAAAGAACCGAATGAAGAATGAGGAATCATAAAGTCCCCAAATTATTTTTATAAGGCTAATGATGATGAGGTGAAGCACCTCTGCATCATTTGAAAATATATACTTATCCCTAGCAATGATTGTTAAAACCTATCTGTATGATTCTATGTGACAGACCATATTTATTAATGATACTCTAAATGGTAAACTTGTTAATGTAGCGAATATTATTGTTCAGTGCTATTTCCCATAAAAGTTCTAGTTATTTTAGTAATTCTTTTTTAAGAGGAGAGGAAATATGCATTTAGGTCAAATCATTATTTTTCTTGCTAACTCTAATCAATTTTTGCTATAATGAAATCTTCAGGCCGTAATTTGGTTAATCTTTTCTCATCAATCACTAAGGCTTCGTTTGGGACAGCTTTTTTATTGCTTTCTAAAACAGAGTTTTAGTACAAAAATAAAAAAATTTGTACTACAACTCCATTTTAGAAAGCAATAAAAAAGCCGTCCCAAAAGAAGCCTAAATTCTTGAGAAGACAACGGAATGCAGTTCTGGGTGTTTGGAAAATGAGAAAGTTAAAAAACATATAATTGAAACAAGCATAACTTCTTTTTTTATTGATTTTTTTCCAAGTTTAAGTAATGTTTACTGCGCTTATACTGATACTTAGCAAGCGTCTGCTATGGAGTCTTTGTAGTTTGCAAAATTGTCAAACTAAGTTGATATTGGTAAATGGTAATTATATAAACTAATAGATAGTCTCCAAAATTAGCAGAGTTTTGGAATTTCTTTCTGCAGTTAATAGTTTTTCCTGAGTTTTGGAATTTCTTTCTGCATTTGATTTTATATTTGAATTTGTTTCAGTAGGCGAATGTATTTGTTATAGGATGATTTGAACCCTGATACTCACCTTTATGAGCCAAGAATAGTCCATGCCTGTCCATTGTCTAGTGGGCAATGCATTGTTTGTTCTTACTGTTGGAACTCGTTCAATAAGAATTAGGATGTTAAGCATAATTAAATGTCCCAAGGCTAACCAAGAGGGGGCGGGGTGAATTTGTAATTTAAAAATTATACTTATACTCTTGAATTTTTAGAAAATCTTTTTAATTATTTATGCAAGTTAAATTTAAAGTTTAAAAAATAAACTTTTCAACCAGAGTAAACAACTTGCAATGAAATTAAATGCGGAAGAAAAATAAGAAAGAACACACCAGATTTATAGTGGTTCGGTCAAACCTTGACCTACGTCCACTCCCCGGAGGCACCCTCCAAGTATTGCACTAATACCACAAAGTGACT